GGGAGAGACAGTGCAGGAGGCCAGAAGCTGTTAGCATCACTTTTGCATCAAGCAGCAGTAGGCTCATGTGGCTCCCCAAATGCAAAATTAGTGGTGAGTTTTGGCTCTCTTTTATCTGCCTTTCCCATTCTGTGCTTAGATAGAATTTCACTAAAGACACTCCTGTTTCTTTGATAGCTTCCCTTCACAGTTAATTTTATTCTTACCTTGCAATTGTTATCACTTTAGTACAATAATAGAAAAAAGATTTAAAGGGCAACACCAGTAACAAAAGATCTCTTTGCTCTATTGTTTTAAAAGTTCTGTAATAGTGCACCTAAATGAAACACTTTTTAAAGAAACTAACAGCTACAAACATCCATATAGTGTTTTTTTGTAAGTACATTTGAAGAAAAATCATATTACCTAACCAAAATAAATATTTGCAAAGTATTTTATTGAAGATTGTGCATTTTGAACAATACAACAATTAGCAAGCTGTTTGAATGAATATTTTTGTATCATAATTTAAAAAAATCCCATAATAGTTTAGTTTTGGGTTTGAATTACTAAGAATAATTCTTGTACAAATGTTTTATTTCTCTAATCATAAGGTTATTTTGGCAGCTTTACTATGTCACTCAACTGAGCATTCTGGATAGCAAACAAAGTAATTTTTGATAAGTTTCTTTTTTCAGACTAAGTAAATCACAGCGATAGAAATTTAAAATTTTCAATATTTCAACCTCATACAAATAAGACTTTATCCATATTAAATTTGGGTATTTATGAATTTTATACCTTAAAATGAAAATCATCATACTTTATTAATTACTCAAATGTTGCTAACAGTGAATTTATGTCATACATATTATGTGAATTATGAAAAAATCATTATTTAATCATTCTTAATATTAACAATGAATTTTTCATTTATATGCAAGAATATATTACCTATAATTTCATCTAGGCTGAGCTTGAACTTACAGATTTTTTATACAGAAGTTAATTCATATATCCTAATTATACAGAGGCTCATGTGCTTTCTCAGGCTACTTCAACATTATCTAAATTGGTACACAAATAGTTCCTGCTATAAAAACTGGGGTTTATATTAATTACCGTTGGCCTTATTGAGGCTATCAAATCAACCCTAATAATCTGGACAAAATTTGTGTTAATAGTAACTTGTTCAGGTGTCTATGTAACAGAATTCTTTGATGGTTTTGAAATCCATAATGTTTTAAAAATTTAGATCTTTTTATATCTACAATTGCATTAATTTTTTCCAAGGAGATATCTCATAATAACAAAGTTCAAGTCTGAGTATTTAAAAACTAATTATTATGACCTCAAGTAAAATAAATATAGGCAAAAAATGTAACATTGTATCCCTGAGGATGTCTCTTCAAGTTCTCTGAT